TTGTGTGTGTGTGTGTGTGTGTGTGTGTGTGTGTGTGTGTGTGTGTGTGTATGTGTGTGTGTGTGTGTGTGTGTGTGTGTGTGTGTGTGTGCTTGTGCATGCACGTGCTCGTGCGCGTACATGGGCGCAGGCGTACGCACAGTGGATGTACGCTACCCAGCACTGGAGCTTGGGATCGCATCCGACCTCAATCTCCCGGTACACCCTCAAATCCACCCCGCCGCACCCGCCGCCGCGCAGGACGCGGACCCGCGTCGCATCGTGTCAATGACGGGCGACGGCGTCAACGACGCGCCGGCGCTGAAGGCCGCCGACGTGGGGGTCGCCATGGGCATCACTGGTGGGTGGCGGCGGCGGCAGTGAAGTCGGCAGCGAGGCAGGCGGGGGGGGGGGCAGCTGGCCTTTCTCTGGGCACCGCAGAGCTGGCTCGGCGGCATGCAGGAGGACGAGTTCCCGGCGTCCAAGGAGCTGGTTTGAGGAGTTAACAAAAAGTTGTCGCGCTCAGCCCGCCGGGCCGCCAGTGGGGGTGCAGTTGCGTTCAACATCTCGCTGATCTCACTCATGCCATCTGATTTGATGTGATCTGACCTCACCTGATCTGGCTCTGATCAGGCACCGATGTGTCTAAGGAGGCGGCCAAGATGGTGCTGGCTGACGATAACTTCACCTCCATCGTGGCCGCGGTGTGTGTCTGTGGGGGGGGCGGGGGGTGGGAATGCGCTGAGTCCTCATGGATGGGACAGGCACATGGTGGGGCTTCGGTGGGTGATGCATGGCAACAGCTGCTATTTGCCCATTGTATGTTCTTTTATGTATGGTTCTACGATTTTCTGTTGAGTGACGCTTGCACTTGATCAAATCATGGCAAGAATGCTTTAGAGCAGCTGTTTGGTAACCCCCCGGCAACCTTCTCACGCCCCTCAGTCAGTACCCAGACCCACAGCCTGCCGATCCCCTCGCCCCCCCCCCCTGGGCGAAGGTGAAGGAGGGGCGCCGTGTGTGGGACAACATTGTGCGGCTCCTGCTGTTCAACCTGCCGGTGAGGAGTAGGGCCATCACGACGAGGCAACTTACATAAAAATCACACACACAAGAGATAGAGGCACATGTTCCTTCTGCACCCATTGGGTGCCAGCCGCGGCACCATCAGGCGCACGCCGCGCACCCTCACAACTGCCGCTTCGTACGGCGTGCCCCTGCGCCCCGCTCTCCCCAAAGGCCCACATGTGTCCAGTCTAGCCCTGTCAAGAGTGCGCATCCCTCTAGTCAAGCCCTCTTTCAGTGTGCGCCCCTCCCTTGCACTCACCAATGTCCACATCCTGCACAATGATCCATCCCCCTCCGTGCACCCACCTCCCCACCCCCATGTACCCCAGGTCAACTTTGCCCAGGGCATCATCGTGCTTTGGGCCTACATCCTGGGATTCAGGGAGTCACCCCTCACAGTGCTGCAGGTGAGGGGCTGACCGCAGGTTGACTGCACGGCAGGTCCTGTTGTGAGGGTGTGGGCAGCCTGGCGGACGGCTGAGCTTGTTCGCAGCTGCAAGCTGCGTGGCACGACACACTCTCTTTGGGCGAGAGAGTCTCCTGGCTGTTGAACAGTACATGTTGCCTTCGCCAAATCGGCATCTCTGACCCTGTACAACTAACATCAATACTACACCCCGTGATGTAAAGGATGCCGCTGCGCCTGCCGGCTCAGTAAACCCGGACTGCCACCCCCCTTCCCTCACTTATTTCGGTCCTGTCCAACGACTTGTGCGCCCATGTGCCCTCCGCCGCCTTGCAAACCCTCCATCATCCTCCACAACCCCAAGACCCTCCACCATCCAAAATATTCCCAATCCCTCCAGCACCCACCCCCACCCCGCCCCCCCCCCCAGATCCTGCTGGTCAACATGCTGACGTCAGTGGTGCTGGGCATGGCGCTGGCGGCGGAGCCCGCAGAGCCGGACGTCATGGACCGGCCGCCACGCCCCGCACACAAACGCCTCATAGG